CTTCTGCATTGGGTTCAAAATTATAAAGGCTACTGAGTTGAACATTAGAAGTCGTAAACCCAGAGATGGATCGGCAGTTTAACGACGGTTATAAAATAAAAAAGTATAATTATCTTGAACATTTGAATTAATATTTAAAACTAAAATTAGGCATATAATATTACATAATATTATTATTTATTCAATCTTTCACAATCAGTGTCAAGTTTATGTGACGTGAAATTCTATACCCTTATTCGTTTATAAATTTGAAAATTTTCTCTATTTAGAAATTTGCAATATATTTAAAAAAAATCGGTTATTGATGCCACATTAGTAATTGGAGCTACTCATTGGCGTTTTAGGCCTCATGAGACTTTAAATGCTAAAGGTTAAAAGCACATTTTTATTATTATTATCATTATTATTTTTAATTTCGATTTTCTATTTTATGCAGAATAATTCTTCGTCTTTTCAGCAATTTCATAGATGCTGGTCTCGCTTATTATTCTATGTCTTTTGAATTCTTTTAATATACAAATATTAAAATTGCCACATTAATTTAATTTAAGTAATTGCTAAGAGAGAATGACTGAGAGTGTAATTATTTCAGACAACTCAGACATACCGGATATTACTGAAATGTTATAAGCATTTCCCCCTTTCTTTGATAGTTTAATATTATCACGATATTCTATGATTTAACGACGCAATTTTTTAGCTGCACACATCTGACATTTATTAAAATAGAAATTATAACTTTTACAATTTATTTACAAATTTATTATCTTTAAAACTATGAAACTTGTTTTTGATCGCGACAAAACATGTTTTGTACTAATTGAATAAATATAATCATATATACAGGGTGTTTCATTATGACCTCCCTTAGGTATTTTTAAAATTTTTGTCGAACATAAAGAAAAATATTTAAAATACAGTGATGATCTCAAATTAATATTAAAGCGGGGACAAAATAAAAACGCTATCGAAGTATGAGGAATCACTACTAAGGAAGTTGCTTGCACAAAGCGTGTCATAATTATTTGAAGTTTGAAGGTGTGCCTCTCCTTATTTTTCTCTGATTCCTCCGGCAAACAAACAGACTTTTATGTCTTCTACGACCACACGGAGAAAAAAATTCTGGCACAAATGCGGCAAAAAAAACAGCAACATAATTATGATAATAAAATCAAAATATAGGTTATTTAAGCATTTCATTCGGTAATTTTTCCGTTCTTATAGTAAAGGTTTGCCAGAAATTCTGATTTTGAAAATTAGTTTTTATTTCACACATTTAGTAAAAATACAAAATTGAAATATAAATTTAACCAAAACATGTTTTTTTCCAATGTTTTAAGGTATTATTATAGAATTACCAAATTTTACCCCATTTACGGCCAAACAGAGTGGCAATAAAATCCTATTTTATTGCTAATTTTACCAAGACTCATTACCAAAGCGCTTGGGTAAATATTACAGCTCTCTTTGGTGATCCCATAGAGCCAGAAACACAGTAAATTTCACAATTTTCTGGTAATTTTGATCATACCTTTTTCACAGTGAACTTTTATCAATAGTGATTTGTTAGAATTTGGCAGCAAAATTGGTAATTTGAGCTTTGTTCTTAGTCTGTGCGTGGTTATTTGAAGGTAGATTTAAGGCAAAATTCTGTTGTCTATGCTAATCTGTTCACAGTGAACTTTTATCAATAGTGATTTGTCAAATTTTGGTAGCCAGATTGGTAATTTGAGCTCTGTTTTTAGTCTGTATTGCGGTTCGTGGTTATTTAAAGGTAGATTTAAGGCAAAATTCTGTTGTGTATGCTAATTTGTGAAACGAAATAGGTTTCTCTGCTTGAACAAAAGTTGCATTGATTCAATGTTGTCTAATCAGATTTTAAAATTAACCTAGGAGTTATTCCAGACTGTTTATGAAAGGACTATTTTGTGAAATTGGGAAAAATTAAATTTACAAATTTTTGAAAATAGAGTTCTGATTTTGTGCAAGTCACTAAACAATCTTATTTAATAAGTTTTATTTTTAAATTTGCGAATTAAAAATGTTTGTGAAATGTTTTTTTTTTGAGAAGCAGGGTTCCCGCAGTCCTTGAAAAGTTTTAGCAGTGGTAGTAAATTTAGGTCACTACTGGGAGATATTTCTTATTTTAATATACGACTTTATCGTTAAGTGGTTTAGAAGCAGGAACTTCCATTCTTATATACTTTCTTCGGAAAAAAATTTTTAGTAGTTACACAGAAATTAAAATATCGACATTTGTTTTATTTTCGTTACCACTTTCTAAAATTTCCAAGGACCCCCGGAACCCTGAGAAAGGTCTGTTTTTTGTGATAAATATTTTATAAAGGGTCTGTTTTCGCGACAAAATATTTTGTGAAGAGCCCGTTTTTACGATTAAATATTTTCGGATCAGTCTGATTTAATGATAGACTATTTTGTACAGAGTGTGTTTTAACAATTAAATTTTTCGAAGAGTTCGTTATTAGATTAGTTAATTACTCTTAAAATGACCAAATAAATCATGATATATGACTCATGAGTACTTTGCGTATTTCAAAAAAAAAAAAAAAAAGAAAAAAAAAAGCTAAAACGACAGAAAAGTTACTGTATTGTAATGAATGAGCTGTTATGTACTTTTTGAAATGTTTTAAGTGAAGAGAAACAGATGACACCTAAACTTGAATATTAGATCATATTAGTACATTAACACTAGAGTTTCTAAGTGTCTATTTACGTTCTTACATAAGTGGGTAAAGATCTGGTACATCCAAGTATCTAGAGGGCGAAATTAACCACTTAACCTATTTCCGACATCAACACAAAAACATCACATCAGAAAAAGAAAAAAAAAGAAAAACGACATAAAACCTTTTCCTATATTTTTGGAAACAAATACTATCATTTTTAAATTCCTCACAAAGACCGTATTGTTTTTTCGTTGAATAGAGGTCGCATATAAAAAAACGTATTTGCATTTTTTCCTTTTTGAAAATGATGAAAGTTATTTAATTCTGCGGCCTAAATGGCTTTGAAGAACAAAAGCTGAACAATATTTGCCTCAATGCGATTAGATTCTTTTTTGTTGAAAGAAATGAATTTCAATAAATGAAACAGGGAATATTATAATTTAATCTTTTATTTGCATAAATCAAAAGTAATTTAGTAATTCAGTTACATAAGCTGAGAGCTCAATAAAATAATATCAACCTTTCAATTTACTTCGCTGAATATAGTGAAAGATTTCAAAATTCTCTTAAATACTATGAATGAAACAATAGTTAGTATACATTAAGTTTTTATTGGTTATATTTAATTTTTCGAATGCAGCGAGGTATATATAGGGTGTTTCTTTATGACTAACCTTAATATATACTTTAGGAATCTTTATCAAAGATAAGGCAAAAATAGTTCGGTGTTGTAAATTACTATTTAAGCGAGGAAAAAACGCTAGATCATCTAACGAATATAAATTAATTTATTATTTAAAAATAAGCTGAATTGGGATTTAATTAGCGTATAAAAATGGATAAATAGATCAGGATTTTAGAAAATTTAGGACGATGGCTTTTCAAATGTTCGTTATATATCATCCATTTCCTCATTTACTGAAACAAAAGGAAATGTAGATAATAAGAAGGAAGGAAATGAGAAAGAAAAGAAAGAAAAAAACTAATTTACAAATTTGAATTTAATAAAAAGAAATATGCATGCTTTTTATAGCTAACTAAAATAAGGTTAATGTATTAAATAAATAACTGTTACAGAATTAATAAATTTATATATAATAAATAAATTACTATATTTCAAATGAATAGCATATTATTTTTATAAATAATTGACATATTATTTATGAAAATCTAAATTGCAATTTTACTAATCTAATACTAATATAGCTTTGAATAATTCATGATTAGCAAAACAAATGGTTTTAAATTAGTAAGAAAACGTTTTTGAGAAATATTTGCTTCAAAAATGATTGAAAATGTAGTTACTTGATAGTAAAAATGTTTTATTGTTTTGTGTACAGATAGTTTTTTATAATGCCGGCTTTCTCATCATTTGAAATAACTGGCAATTAGAAACACAATTTCTTTTGAAATTAGTAAGACAAAAGAATTAAAAACTTGCATAAAAATTCATGCATTAGTCTTTTTTACGCTTTTAAAAGTGAAAAAATAAATTCATGTTAACAATTCGAATTTACTTTTCTCATATTTAATATCAAATTTGTTACTCTGAGAAAAAAAAGTATGATCAAAACCACCATATTATGATAAAATTTACAGTGTTTCTGTATCTGTAGAAACACCAAAATTCTCGATAATTTTAGCGAAGAGCTTAGGTAAGGATTTTTGTAAAATAACAATAAAATATGGTTTTATAATATGCGATAAAATTCGGTAAATGTGGTAAAATTTGGCAATTTTATTACATTATCTTAGAGCATGGCATAAAAACCATTTATTCAGTTAAATTTGCTTTTCAGTCTTGTATTTTTACTAAATGTAAAATAATATGAACTATAATTTTTAAACCAGAATTTCCGATAAACCGTAACCAAATGAACGGAAAAATTACCAAATGAATTGTTTAAATACTATATATTTCGGTTTTATCACCGGAGTTTTTATTTTGTTTTTACCATACATACGCATTTCACCAGAATTTTCTTCTCCGTGTACTTTTTAAATGCAAGCAAAATCAAAATATCAGAAAAATAATCAAAACAGTTTTATGATATTATTCTAAATTTAAATGTATAGATTTTGTTATCTATGCATTTTTTATTACATGAATCATCTTTTCTTTCGAAAAATATTAAATCGCAATTTATATTAAAATAATCATGATACGAATATCCCAAACATATATTCATACTGATTTGAACAGATAAAATAAATTTTCATAAAACAATTCATTGTAAATTTCACTAAACACAAACGAATTACTGCAATAAAACATGATCTAAGTTCTAAGTATGAAAAAAATATTGTACTCACAATATCGATGTCATGATCCCAATGTCTTGTGGTACTTCTGTAAAGTTCACGTTAGAACAGTCAACACGAATTGCATCAGGATTTCCCGAACAAACGCAACTTCTTGGACATGGGTCCTGTGGTAAAGGAGTTACATCAATTGTAACTCCGGTTGTACTACAAAATAGTACAATTTGTATCAAAAACAAACATTTTTCTAAACTCCAAGGTGACATTTGAAATTTAGAAAAACTAAACAGTATGAAGAACGACATGGAATAAATAATGAAGCTTCGTGAACGTAGCTTTATTCCTTTCATTATTATTTTCAAAAGTACATTCCATGATTTAAAAAGGGTGCACGCCTCCTATTATTTTTACATGAAAAAGTCTTAAACAATAATATAATTTGTAAATTTAAAGACAGCATTTTATTACTGTTTGTCAATAATTTCTTTTAAAGTTCACCAAAAAAGTTTCATTCACTTTATTTAAAATTGTTGTTTTCATTTTTAAAAACTTTCATGAAAAATGTTTTTTATTTAAAAAGATTCTTAAACAGCTGTAAAGATTTCACACTTTTATTCTACTTAATGTAAGTTCGAAAAGTTTTGCAATTTAAAACATTTTCGTCAGATAATGATGCATATATTGACCGATAATTTTTAGTCAGAAATTTTTTGTGCATTATTGTGAAGTTGTTTAATGCACAATAATGAATAATATTCAATTAAAATCTCCAAATAAATAAATTTGAGATTTTTTTTAAAAAAGTTAATAAGTGCCACAAAGAATAAAGTCAAAGATTTTCTAAAAATTCTTCAATTTATCATCCTCTTTGGTGAGCACGTCACATTTTGATTAAATACCTGCTCAAAATATTAAAGGTTCAAAAGATGAGGATGAAATCTATTTGAAACATGGGATGAAGATTGCTCATCCCAAGTCAGTGCTCGCTGAAAAAGATGCGCTTCAGCTCTGGTTGTTGTTGCAATGAGCTCCATGAAAACTTACTCTCATTTTGGCGGGATGACTCTCGCGCCTCTCGCCAATTAAGCAACTTTTTCACGCCAAACTTTTTAGAAGATTGTATATTTTCTGTTGGTATGGTTTTATACTCTGAGAGAACTCGTTTTTTTCTGCCAACTTTTTTTTCTTATTTAAGGAATATATGAAAGGGCCGGTTTTTGTTCATTCTATTATAGACAAGCGAGAGAAAGTTAATTCTATACACTAATTATGAAGTTCATTTTTTAAATCTTTCTTGTAAACAAGTTACGTTAATTAGTTTTAAATGTTTCATTCGGTGGTTTCATTAATCAAAAGTCTCCTCTCAGTTACTAAAAGATACGACAAACATTTTTCTATAAAACTTGCTGAATTAGGGTTTTTAAATTTTGGTTGTAAATAACGTTTGTATCGTATACATCAAAATAATAAATTATAGTTGACTAAAGCAGGGATTATGTCTATAATTTATACACAGTATAATTTTTTTTACTTTATAAAAATGCTTTTAAATGAGTGATTGTAATAAAAGAGATGTTTAATAACATTTTCTATTAACTTAAATTTACTTTGACATAAATTTAATTTTAGATTGTGTCTATACACAGTATCATTTTTTTGCATTACAAAAATGCTTTAAAATGAGTGATAGTGATAAAAAAAGATGTCTTGTTATATCTTTTATTAACTTAAATTTATATTGGCATAAATTATATGTAAGACATTTATACATAATAATTGCACATGAAGCATTAATCTTGATTTTATTCTACATAAAACATTTATACATAGACAACTATGCATAAGACACTATTATAAGATTTAGATTGTGACTGTAATTTATATACAGTATCATATTTTTTTGCATTATTAAAATGCTTTTAAATGAATGATTGTGATAAAAGAGATTTTTGTTACATTTTCTGTTAAACATAAATTTACTTTAAAATAAATTTAAATAGGACTCAGATTGTGTCTATGATTGAGTCTATAATTTATAAACAGTATCATTTTTGCATTATAAAAATGCTTTTAAATGAGTTAATATGATAAAAGAGATGTCTTGTTGTATTTTCTATAAACTTAAATTTACTTTGGAATAAATTTAATTAAGAGATTGCGTCTATATTATTTATACTCAGTATTTTTTTGCATTATAAAAATGCTTATAACGAAGTGTTTGAGACAGAAGATATGTTTTGTAATATTTTCTTTAAACTTAAATTTACTTTGGAATAGACTTAACTAAGACACGAATTTCTACACACTTATATTTATACTACTAAACGGAATTGGTTATAAACGCCAAACGTAAAAATAAGACCATAAATTTAAGCACTGAATGTCAAAAATTTCATCAGCACATAATTTTCTTTTTGTTTAAAAGCTTTTTTTCTCTGCGTTTATCAGTCGCAAGTTTTTTTTTCAATATCTTCATGTGTGAAATATCGTCATTGATTAACAGTTTACACCTCTGTATTATTAACCCAACAATTTACCTAGTATAAAATCAATATTATTGGTACATTCTTGAATAAAATATTAATTCAAAACAAAGAACATAATGGTAAATGCTGACTTTGAAAAATGCACATTGAATGTCTAACTTATCATGGGCAAGTTAATTTGTTTAAACAAGATTATTCCTTCTTTTTTTTTTTAGAATTTTTTCAGCACGAATTCTTTATTATCTCTACATGGAGAAAAAAAGTCTGATAAAATTACCTTACTGTATGGCAATGAGATGTTTGGTAAAAAAAACCTAATTCTGGTTAACAAAACCAAAATATACCGTATTTAAATAGACCATTCATTTTGTTATTTATGCGTTCATATGGCAACTATTTCACGAAAATTCTGGTTTTAAAATTTTAGTCTTTATTACCACATATTTAGTAAGAAATACAAAACTGAAAAGTAAATTTAACCGAATAAATGACTCTTATGCCATGCTCTACGGTATCATGATACAATTATCAAATTTTATCACATATTAAAAAACCGCAATTTTATTGTTAATTTTACTAAAATCAACCGAACCAAGTGCTTCAGTATAAATTACTGCGCTTTTTTGGTGTTCCCATAGAGACAAAAACACGGTAAATCTTACCATATTTTGGTAGTTATGACCATACTTTTCTCTCAGTATAGGTGTGTAATATCATTTTAATCATAATATGACTTACATTTAAGAATTATTTACAACTTAAAATAACACTACTCTTTATAGTATCGAAATCGAAATTAAGACTTAAATTTTAGTAACACTGCAAAATAAAATACCGATAACAAAAGCCAAACAATATATCTCGGTGCAAAATATTATTTTATTCATTCTTACAAATGCTTATAATGCTTTTATTCATGATTTACCTGTTAAGAAATGCAACTATTTGTCGTAGAATGAATCGAAAAAACTCTTCAAACTTTAAAAATAATTAAAAAATTAAATAGTTCGAGTCAGGTAAGATTTTTAATATTTTCTGAATATGCCTTCCACATTTTTGAAGAAATTAAGATTTTATGATTTTTTAAAGTAATCAACTAGTAATGATAAGATCAAGTAAAATAGAGGAGTAATTATTAACCTCAGTAATTAATTTTGGAGAAAAATTGTAATCATTGGAACAGCAATAAAACACAATTTTTGAGATAAATATTTTGGAAAATTCATTTAAGACGTATAAAGAAATAAAAAATAATATAGAATTTTAAGACATTGTGGGGGCTAAAATACCAACAATGTCAACCTTCATCTATCAAAAGGTATCCTAAGATAGAATCGAGTTAACGCGTTATATATACTAGTGAATTGGAATTGTATTATTGTAGTGGTAGTTACACTACAATAAAAAATATAATGAAAAAAATTTCATTAAAACCTTTTTACTACTCGAGTACATAAAAAATATTTATTTTCTATGTCACTACACTGTAAGGATTCCTTAATTAAGTATACTTAAAGGTTTTCTTAAAAGCTATTAATTCTTGCTGATCATTTGATATTATTAATTCAATTAATTAAAAAAACTAAGCATTAATGGTAAGTTCAGAATAAACTTTTCCTTTAATTTCCATGTATAATTAGTTTTATGAGTTACTTTTTTACTTGAAATAAAAGGCAGGGTTATTCGTAAAATGTTATCATATTCCAGATAAATAAAGTTTTTTAATTTATGACGGTTTATTTTTCAATTGCTTTATTGCGCCGTATTCGTTTTTGTTACATTTTTCAATAAATACCCAGATAAAAAAAAGATGTTCAAAAATTAATCACATTGAGAAAATAAATATATTAACATGAAAAAAGATACATTGAAAGTAAACTAGTATTTTAAGACTATTGATTTGAAAATGAATTACATTGTTTACTTATAATTATATTTAATTAGCATTTTAAAATATAATTGTTAGTTCCTTTTTCCTTCTAATGCAAAGCATAACGAACTAAGTATTTTGAAGTAGTTCTATAATTTTTTCAGTCAGTTTTCCCCTATAACTATTTAACTATTAGGTAGCTATCCGATTATAACTTAATTTTGTGTTCTTAATATATTTAATACGATTTATTAAAAAATAATGACAGACTGAAGAATTTTTCTTAAATTTCAATGTATAATTAGTTTTATTTATTTCCATTTGAAACAAATGTCTGATTTATTTGTAAAATTACATCACTTTCCAGAAAACTGAAGATTTTTTTAAACTTACACCAGCTTTCTTTATTGCTTCACTGTTAGAATTTTCTTTACAAAATTACAGAAAAATTAGCGACAGCAGTCTGACCATCCAATTAACCGTAAAGTTTACACTTAGGAACATTTCTTTACCTTTACGGGTTTAAAACCGCTTAGAGCAGGTATGGTAAAATGATAGTGAATACAAGATTATACTTTTTTGCAACAATTAGTGTGGTTTCAAAACCGTAAAAATTAAATTTAGCAGGACATAGGAGTCAGGCTATGCTAGGCTTTCCGTTAGGTAATAAATACTGGAGTTAGGTTGCAATTGAGTTATGTTTTGTCAAGTAAATCGGGAACTGGGGCATTATTAGTTTATTTAATGGTGCCATCTATCGGGAAAGATGGGAAATATTAGATTTTTCTGTGTTAAGCAGATTCGTGGTGATGCTATCTATGCGTGAATGAGAGTTACGTTTGCCAAAAGTCCAGGGAGGAGTCCAAGATACTGGAAACACCTCGTTCATTGAAATAATAGGGGATATATCAAGGTATTCACGCTGAGATTTGAACCCCTGATCTGACTTTCATGAGATTGAAAGATTATCTTTACCGGGTAAAATATGTACTTAGATACAAAAAACTAAGTTGCTTTATAATGTGCAAACCACACTTTTATTGCAATTAAATCCTTTGGCAGCCGTTTCTATGTTAGTCATCTGATTATAAACAATAAAAATATGAATTCGTAATCCAAATCACATAGCTTAGCTTCCAGCTTTCGAAAAACGTGCGCTCAATTCTTATTGACTGTGGGCCTAGTTAGCGCAGATGAAATTCTGGCTGTTTAGCCGTATTAGGTGAAAATAGAAAATAAACTATTTTTCTCAGAGTTAACTGTTTGAACAACATAATTTTTACGTTTACTTAACTGTTTTGGATGAATATGGTTAAATAACAATTAAATAAATTGTTATTCTACCATTTTTCAGAGAAATTTCTAACAGAGTTCATTGCTTCATATTTCATTTTGTTTTATTTTTAAAAAAATTCTCAAATCATGAAAAAGATGCTCAAAAATTAGTTTGAAAGTAAATGTTAAAAAAAAATGCTTTGAAGGACATTTAGTTATTTGGTGTTTTAAAATTATTGTTTCTAGTATAAAATATATTGCTTACTTATTATTCTATTTAATTTGTATTTTAAAAAAAGAATTACTGGTTTATGTTCTTTTTAACTCAAAGAATGACAATATAAGTGTTTTAAAGTAGTTACAACGTTTAACTCAAA